GTTGTGCGTGGAATGGAGGTGTATTCTGGGTATGGAGCTTCTGTCTTCTTCTTTTTTTTTTTTTTTTTTTTTTTTTTTTTTAAAAAACAGCCACTCGCCTGTCCCAGGATCCAGTGGTGTCCTCAACGCAGCCGGGTTTACCGCCCACCCTGTGTCCACACCTAGGCGAAGTGGGAGCGGATACCTGGAAAAATCAGGTACCCACTCCCCAAAAGGTGCCAATCCTTAACGGGGAGTGGGGGGGGGGGGGGTGAGGCCTTAAAGCAGAACTTCCCTTTTGGGTGATGCTTTGTTTAAAGGGGTTAAGACTAGTTGGGTGTAACCTAGAATTTCACTTTACCTATTACAGAACACTAAATTTAACATTTGGGTCTAAAAAAAAAAAAAAAAAAAAAAGTCAGCAGCTAAATTTTTTTGTGTCGCTTTAAGGGCCAGTTCACACCACAAAAACGCACTCTGGATGCATTCCGGATATGTTTTTGCTTACAGTTCACACCACACTCCATTCCGGTGCGTTTTTGATGTGTTTTGCTGGATTCCAGTAGTAATAGCTGACTGATAAAAAATAAAAGGTGATGCTGCGCCCAGTAAATAGATACCCAACATTAAATTGGTGCACGCTTGTGGAATTATTATTATTATACAGGATTTATGGCTCCAACAGTTTGCTCAGCGCTTTACAATATAACGGGAGACAATACAGCAACAATACAGTTCAATACAAGAGGGATAGGAGGGCCCTGATCCTGGGAGCTTACAATCTAAGAGGGAGGGGCTAGTGGTACAAAAGGTAATAACTGTGGGGGATGGACTGGTAGGAGGAAGTAGAAGATTCCGTTAGTAGCTGAGGGCAGGATAGGCTTCCCTGAAGAGATAGGTTTTCAGAGATCGCCTAAAAGTGAGCAGAGTAGGCGATAGTCTGATAAATTGGGGTAGAGAGTTCCAGTGGATGGGGGAGGCTCTGGACAAGTCCTGGAGACGAGCCATGGGAGGAGGAGAAAAAGAGGGAGCTAGAGAGCAGGAGGTCGTGGGAGGAGCGGAGAGTACGGTTTGGGTGATATTTGGAGACAAGATCAGTGATGTAATTTGGGGCAGATTTATAAATGGCTTTATATGTTATTGTTAATGTTTTGAATTTTATTGCTTGGGCACTGGAAATCTAGTGGAGGGATTGGCAGAGAGGGATGGAGGACACTGAATGGAGGATTGGCCAGTGGATGGAGGACACTGAGTGGAGGCAGTGGAGATTGGCAGAGAGGGATGGAGGACAATGAGGTCAGTGGAGGGTGGCAGTGGAGTGGAGGGATTGGCAGAGAGGGGTGGAGGCCAGTGGAGGGATTGGCAGAGAGGGGTGGAGGACACTGAGTGAGTGGAGGGATTGGCAGAGAGGGATGGGAGGACACCGAGTGGAGGCCAGTGGAGGGATTGGCAGAGAGGGGGTGGAGGACACTGATTGGGTAGAGAGGGTGGAGGACCAGTGGAGGCCAGTGGGGATTGGCAGAGAGGGGTGGCAGATACAGAACGGTTAGTATGGTGGATGAGTCTGGCAGCAGCATTCATGATAGACTGAAGAGGGGATAGCCTGCGATGAGGTCGGCCAATGAGGAGGGAGTTACAATTGTCAAGGCGAGAGGTAACCAGGGGTGAAAAAAATTGCTTAGTGGTTTCAGAGGAATGGGGACAAACGGGGCAATTAAAAATCTCTATAGGTGACGCTTTAAAAGCCTCCACAGACTACAAGTTTAGAGTTACACCGGAGGTTTGATGCTAGAATTATTGCTCTCTCTTTAATGTTTGCAACGATACCCCACATGTTTGGTGTGAACACGGTTTACAGATGCAAGAACAATCTACGTATGTGTTCGCCTTCGCGCGTGAGCACATGGGAACGGGGTCACTTAAATATATATATTAATAAAATCTTTCATTTTTTATACTATTCCTTTTTTACATTTTTTTTTTTTGGAATCTCTGTTATTGTTATCACATTGTTTCATCTGCCCTTAAAAGCATCAGGTCAGACCAAGACCAGGCTGATCTGATGTTTGTACAGGCCAGTAATGGACCAAAACCAGAACTGACAAAATACTCGTTGCTTCTGGTTTCTAATACCATAGAGATGGTTGAGGATGTTATGGTCCCCAATCAGCTCTATGATAAGCTGGTGGAACTTCTGGCCTCAGTACCAGGCTCCCCAATGGGATGGGAGAGCCCAGAGAGGGAGCAAAGAGCAGCTGATTAGCCACTTGGATTACTTTTACTAAATAGAGAACTGCCGGCTGAGGAAGAAAAAAAAAAATAGTGCGTTGATGCCTGTACAACTTTTCAAACTGGCTACAAAAATGTACATTACCCAATCTAGAAGTAGTTAAAGATGAATTCCAGGCAAAAATTCTATTTTTTTACTCCACTGCATGAGTTAAATGCTCGTTTTTTGTCTAGGGAATCATAAAGCTGAAATAATAGTAGCCTAATCCTCCAATCCTCTGAACACAAGACCGGTCCCCACCGCTCCTGAAACCCCCCCCCCCCCCCGCAAACGCTAGCAGTTTCCTGAATGGGCTGTTCCTGACGTCATCACGCTCATAGACCATCTCCGGACATGAAGATGGCAGAACCAGTCCACCGCTGGACGTGGGGCAGCGCAGTTTTCTGGAGAATCGGATAGCTTTTTCCCTGACCCCCTAGACAAAATGAGCAGTTAACCCATGCAGTGCGAGCACAGCCCCACTGCATGGAAAAAAAAAAAAAAATAACTGGAGTTCTACTTTAAAACTGCTAACTAACCTGTGTAAGAAAGATGCATCGACTTATTTTCAGCCCGTTCTGGTCCGGTCACATGATCTCCTCCTATGTCAGACAGCAGCGGCTGTAGAGAGGGGGGAGAGTGCAACGACAACTGGAAAAGCCTGGAGCTGTGATGTCACCCTTAGGCTTCAATGGCCCATCCATCGTTGCGCTCGTTGCGCTCCATCGTTGCGCTCCATCGTTGCGCTCCATCATTGCGCTCCATCCTCTCCCTTGCAGCCATACTGGCTGTTACAGGGGAGCCAGATCACATGACCAGTCCGGAGCGGCATGGAATTAGGTAGGTATGTATATCTTTCTGGCATTAGCATAGGTATTAGGAGGGGGGATGGGACAGTTTATGGCTTGTTAAGTGTAAGCTGGAGTTCCACTTTAATATGCAGTTTGGTGGTAGCGCTGTCTGACATACAATGGCAATGTCTCCTCTTCATTTTGTTTTGCAGTTGAGTCTGTTTTTATTCTACCGAATGTTCATCCCGCTACTGCAGTCTCTCACCGCGCGCATTATTGGTAAGTTCCATTTGCACCGCTCTTTGAGATGAAGTCCATCCTCCACCATGACATATAACAGGGCTGCCTCTGTGTAACTACTCGCTGCACAGTTTCCAAAGCTACACAGATAGACATTGGTAGGCTGCAGGAGCCTTGTCTGGTCCAGAACAGTAAATAAGAACTTGACTGCCATTCTGGATATAATTTGGAGTCTCATATTGACCACTTGCCCTCCAGAGGTTTTACCCCCCCCCCCCCCCCCTTCTTTCTGACCAGGCCATTTTTTGCATTACGGCGCTGCGTTACTTTAACTGACAGTTGCGCGGTCATGCAACGCTGAACCCAAATGAAATTTATGTCCTTTTTTTCCCCACAAATAGAGCTTTTTTTCGTTGGTATTTGATCACCTCTGCATTTATTTTTTGTCCTATAAAAAAAAAAAAAAAGACCTACAATTTAAAAAAAAACTATATTTTTTACTTTTTGCTATAAAACATATCAACTAAAAATTTTCAAAAATCAAATTTTGACTTAAATTTAAGTCAAAATGCACGGAGAAGTGCAGTATCTGTAGGAGGAGTTCTGTCGTCATCTCTGCTGAGATGGGGGCAGAAACAAGCCTCTCAGCAGCTGCACGGAGAAGTGCAGGATCTGTAGGAGGAGTTCTGTTGTCCTCTGCTGCGACTGCTGAGACGGGCAGAAATGAGCCTCTCAGCAGCTGCATGGAGAAGTGCAGGATCTGTAGGAGGAGTTCTGTTGTTCTCTCTGCTGCCGACTGCTGAGACGGGGGGGGCAGAAATTAGCCTCTCAGCAGCTGCATGGAGAAGTGCAGGGTCTGTAGGAGGAGTTCTGTTGTCCTCTGCTGCCGACTGCTGAGACGGGGGGGGCAGAAATTAGCCTCTCAGCAGCTGCATGGAGAAGTGCAGGATCTGTAGGAGAAGTTCTGTCGTCCTCTCTGCTGCCGACTGCTGAGACGGGGGCAGAAATGAGCTTCTCAGCAGCTGCATGGAGAAGTTCAGGATCTGTAGGAGAAGTTCTGTTGTCCTCTGCTGCCGACTGCTGAGACGGAGGCAGAAATGTGCCTCTCAGCAGCTGCACGGAGAAGTGGAGAATCTGTAGGAGGAGTTCTGTTTTCCTCTCTGCTGCCGACTGCTGAGACGGGGGCAGAAACGAGCATCTCAGCTGTTGCACAGATGAGTGCAGGATCTGTAGGAGGAGTTCTGTCCTCCCCTCATCTGCCAACTGCTGGGACAAGGTGGGGGTGAGTGCAGCAGCTGCAGGAGAGGTTCGAGGGACACACGAAATGGCCTAGAGGGTCGGATTCAGCCCGCGGGCCTTATGTTTGACATCTGTGCATTGAAAACCTTTTTCTTTGCAGCTCCAGGGCTGTGGGGTCTTTGGCTGCTCCTATGTATATTCTGGGGTCATGTATTGTCTGCTGTCCATTGATGACAGCATATTCCTTTGCAGCCGGGCTCTGTGCTCCTGATTATATTGTGTCTCTGCAGGTGATCCATCCCTACACGGTGATGTCTGGTCGTGGTTGGAATTCATTCTCACGTCGGTGTTTAGTGCCCTCTGGGTTCTGCCACTCTTTGTGCTGAGTAAGGTGGTCAATGCCATTTGGTTTCAGGTGGGCATCCTACTGTGCCATATTTATTCCCAATATCTTAGAAAGGACCTGTAACCCAATCACATTGGAAATTCATGTTCTGTTTTATGACTTTCAGGACATAGCAGATCTGGCATTTGAGATGTCTGGCAGAAAAGCACAGCCTTTCCCCAGCGTCAGTAAAATTATTGCCGACATGTTATTTAATCTCCTGCTTCAGGCACTCTTCCTCATCCAGGTATTGTTGTTTGGTGTTTCTTCCATGTAATCCTGTAGATTAACCAATTCAATACCGTGCAATTTTACCCCCCTTCCTGCCCAGGCCATTTTTCAGGTTTCAGCGCTCTCACACTTTGAATGGTAATTGCGCGGTCATACAACAGATATCCCCCAAATGTTAGGACAGTACAGATATCCCCCAAATGTCAGGACAGTACAGATATCCCCCAAATGTCAGGACAGTACAGATATCCCCCCAAATGTCAGGACAGTACAGATATCCCCCCAAATGTCAGGACAGTACAGCTATCCCCCAAATGTCAGGACAGTACAGATATCTCCCAAATGTCAGGACAGTACAGATATCCCCCAAATGTCAGGACAGTACAGATATCCCCCAAATGTCAGGACAGTACAGATATCCCCCAAATGTCAGGACAGTACAGATATCCCCCCAAATGTCAGGACAGTACAGATATCCCCCAAATGACCCCTTTTTGCAAAGTAGACAGTCCGACGTACTTCATAACAGGCATGGCGAGTTTTTTGAAGTTGTATTTTTTTTGTCATTTTTCGGAAAATGAAAAAATAAAAAAAATTATTTTCACTATTGTTTTTTTTTTTACATACTGTCACCAGTGCAGTACAGCGTCATCATATAACTGGCATGGCGGCGATCAGGGACACTGACTGGTGACAGTATGAAAAAAATATATATATTTTTTTAAAAAATTTTTATTACATTTTTTTTTCTTTTTTTTTTTAAGATTTTTTTTTTTTCATATTTCACTATATCCAAAGTAGTACAATGTTACCATAGCCACCTCACCAACTGTGAAATGCTCTCTGAGAACCTATCCAAACGCCGATCACTCTTCGGAGGCCAAAGCTCAAATGAACGAGCCCGAATATACAGAACAGCTGCATACAGGGGCGGACTGACCATTTGGAAACTTGGGCACTGCCCGAGGGCCCGGGGTCAGTAGGGGGCCTCATGAGATGCCCCTGGTACCTTTTTCATAGGCTTTTTTTTGTGTTTGGGTAAGGACACAGGGGCCCCATGATTTGTCAGTCCGCCCCTGGCTGCATCAGTATGTATAAAATGTTCAGGAACACTTTTGGTTTCCTTTGCAGATACTTGGGGTGTGCATTGATATCCCGCCTCATAGTCTTATGCATTCTTTCCTGTCTTTGCACCTCATAGGGAATGTTTGTCAGCCTGTTCCCGATCGATGTGATTGGACAGCTCATCAGTCTTCTCCACATGTCTCTGCTCTACTCCTTGTACTGTTTTGAGTATCGATGGTTCAACAAAGGTAATTTTCCACAGTTGGTATGATGAGGAAAAAATATGGTTCACGTTCACCCACGTGTGATGATCCTTTGCTCTCCTTCCTGTAGGAATCGAGATGCACCAACGGTTATCCAACATCGAACGCAACTGGCCCTATTACTTTGGATTTGGTTTACCCTTGGCCTCCTTGACAGCCATGCAGTCCTCTTATATTATCAGGTGAATGTTATGCTTTAAAGGGTTATTGTACCTTCAGTTTTAACTTTGCATTTAGCACCCCCTACCCCCCATCCTCCTAATCCAGTTATCAATCAAAATACAGACTTTAGACGCACTATTCACTCTTTCTCTACCATGCTGTTGGGCACTTTTTATTCCCATTCCACCTTTTGGCTGCCCGTGAAATGGATGTACATACACTCATAGCTATGGATAATAATGGTTTATATCAGGGGTATCAAACTCAATTTCAGTTGGTTGCCCTCAAAGGGCTGGTTGTATCTCTAAGACTAGAGGTCCAGATCACCCCCATCCCACGACCATCAGAAGTCAAGAGTCCCCCACCCTCCCTTACATCACAGATCACCCCCCCCCTATACCTTGTGCTGCTGCCGGAGGGAAGCTGGGGGAAAGTGCGGGATCTGGAGGAGCACCAGAGGAGGGCAGGAATCGGCTGCCGGAGTCTGCTGAATGCTGAGGCCAAAAGAGGTGGAGATGGGGGTGCTGTGGTTGCTGAGGTGTAGGATCTGTAGGAGGAGTTCTGTCCTCCTGTCTACTGCCGATTGCTGAGACAGGAAGGAAGGGGGCAGAGACGAGTAACTGCAGCTGCACAGAGAAGCACAAGATCTGGCAGAGGAATTCTGTCCCCCCTTTTTGCTGCTGACTGCTGGGACAAGGAGACGACGTGGGGGCCATAGCTGGAGGAAAGGTGCAAGGGCCACATAAAATGGCCTGGAGGGCCGGATTCAACCCACAGGCCTTGTGTATGACACATGTGGTCTATAGCTTGGCGACTACCTTTGTTATTTATTCTGAAATATAATGCACTGCACCCCTTTATCCAATTCACAGGCCTCCACTGCTGCAAAGTAGAGAATTGCTGCTTAGCAATAGCAGCTGTAGGCTTGTTTCATTTTTAACACACGGCTCTGGGCCTTTCTGTAGAAGTAATCTGGTTGGTTGTAAAGCTGCCTGATCACGTACGCATGCTTTGGGAGTGCCCCTTGTCAGCTCTTGTGATAGTTATTGAAGTTAAGAAAGTGAAAAAATGTTAAGGAAGCTAAAACAAAAAGAATAAAAGGAAATAAACAACTGAAACAATTCCCACCCAATGAACATACCTAAATACAGGTTGTGCTATTGTATAAGAAATGACGACTGCATGACGCATAGTGGGTGTGACTCTGCACACCAAGCTGTTTTAGGGTCATTATTTACCCATTAACTCTGAACTGATAAGCTGCAAATATTCAAACCATTTCTATTTCATCATTTTGGGTACCGCCGTTTTGCAGGCACTTGAAAGTTTAAGGTTTGAAATATTTAGTATTTGTTTACCAAAACCATTTCACCTTTATATTTTACCATAAAAAAAACAGGGGACTACGTTGTGTTTGTGTGCACTAAAACTAATTTCAGTGTTATATATTATTATTATACAGGATTTATATATTATTATTATTCAGGATTTATATATTATTATTATTATTATTATTATTATACAGGATTTATATATTATATTATTATTATACAGGATTTATATATTATTATTATTATTATTATTATACAGGATTTATATATTATATTATTATTATTCAGGATTTATATATTATTATTATACAGGATTTTATATTATTATTATTATTATTATTATACAGGATTTATATATTATATTATTATTATTCAGGATTTATATATTATTATTATACAGGATTTATATATTATTATTATTATACAGGAGTTATATATATATATTATTATTATACAGGAGTTATATATTATATTATTATTATACAGGATTTATATATTATTATTATTATTATACAGGATTTTATATTATTATTATTACAGGATTTATATATTATATTATACAGGATTTATATATTATTATTATACAGGATTTATATATTATTATTATACAGGATTTATATATTATTATTATACAGGATTTATATATTATTATTATTATTATACAGGATTTATATATTATTATTATACAGGATTTATATATTATTATTATACAGGATTTATATATTATTATTATTTATTATTATACAGGATTTATGGCGCCAACAGTTTGCTCAGCAATGTACAAAATAACGGGAGACAATACATTAACAATACAGTTCAATACAAGAGGGATAGGAGGGCCCTGATCCTGGGAGCTTACAATCTAGGAGTGTCCACACAATCCGATTTCACACAATCCGTGTGAAAGCTAATTACCGGTACTCAAAAGTGAATGGGCCCCCTTGCCGTCCTCTCACGCAGATTGGTTGAAAGTAGTTAAAAGCATGTTGATAAGAGAAACACTTGCTTATGTGAGAAGGGGGGGCGTGGATAAATTTGAAAGGATGTGGAAGCCATAGGTGGTGGCCCCTAGGCTGGTACCTTGGTATGAGATTATAAGATTTCTTAGATTGTAAGCTCCAAGGATCAGGGCCCTCCTATCCCTCTTGTATTGAACTGTATTGTTGCTGTATTGTCTCCCGTTATATTGTAAAGCGCTGAGCAAACTGTTTGCACTATATAAATCCTGTATATAATAAGATAATGCCTCCATTTACAGTTTTTGAAAAAGATGTGGATGTTTTGGATAAGTTTTGTGTATTAGGGGGCTTGTGTCTTATAGTTTGGGGTTTTTCTTTTTGTTTTGCTTTGTTTTTCTTGGAGGGAGCAGGGAAAATAATGTGTACAGTATAATGTATGTATTGTATTTATATGGGACAGAAAAATTGTTAACAAAAAAAACATTTTTTTGAACAAAAAATAAAATGATTTCAGTGTATTTTACTGAAAATATAGGTTTCATATTTCATAAACAAATAGTGACAATGATAACCACACTAAATGGCAAATACAAAATAATGTGTGAGAGCTGATGTTATCAGAACTATGTGTCTGTCAGATTACAGGGAAAAAAAAAAAAAAAAAAAATATATAAATAAATATATATATATATATATATATATATATATACACACATTTTTTTTAATTTTTTTTCTGTTGGCGCTATATAAATCCTGTATAATAATAATAATAATAAAAAAAAATATATTTTTTTTTTATTATTTTACAGGATTTATATATAGCGCCAACAGTTTGCTCAGCGCTGTACAATATAACGGAGACAATACAGTTCAATACAAGTGGGATTTGAGGGCCCTGCTCCTTGGAGCTTACAATCTAGGAGGGAGGGGCTAGTGGTACAAAAGGTAGTAACTGTATAACACACACACACACACACACACACACACACACACACACACACACACACACACACACACACACACACACACACACACACACACACACACACACACACACTTTCATAAGAATCAACCAACAATCTAACAGCGGATGATTAAAAAAATAAACTAAAAACATTTTTTATTTGTGATAAATTGTGTGAATGCGGATACATGATGTCCTCTTAGCATTAATATATAACAATTTTATGTACAAATAAAGTGAAACACTTAGTTTTCCGTGTTCATATGCAGATCCACTACTTCTTATTCGCACCAATATTATGCTGGTGCGCTCCCCCATGTTTGTGCCGGCACTCTTCAGAAGGGGTGGACTCTCTGCCATGCATTTAGAGAAGTCAGACATGGCTGTATGATGTAATCCAAAACTGTAAATGAACTTCCAAGTGGATCCTCTTCTCATATCCTCCTTCACCTTCAGTACACCGCTCTTGCCTCCTTACAAATAGTAAATGGCTCCAAGGGTAGCAGGGGAAATCCCATCATAGTGTAGTGCCTGGTTCCTGAAGACGCTCACAGGCAGGGCGAAACATGTTGGGCGGAGCCCATATTTTTGGTTCCAGTGGCCTGCTGCGGTGGCACTTCCGTGTTTTGGTTGGCAGCCATTTTTACTTGCTGAAAGCTAATATATTTTATGTGAGTGGATTTTATCTTGGCATTTTTAATAAAAGTACTGTGCCCATTTTTGTCTGTGTGTGATAAGAGCAGAGATATACTTACCTAATCCGTCGATCCTCCGAGTGCAAGACCGGTCCCTGCCGCTTCTGCCCCACTGCACGCTAGAGAAAGGACTGTTCTTGATGTCCTCACGGCCATAGACTGGCTGTGGGCGTGAGAACGGCAGGATCAGTCCACCGCTGGACTGTTTCGACGGACTGGATAAGTATAGCTTTTGCCTGACCCATAGACAAAACGAGCAATTAACCCATGCAATGCGGGCACAGCCTCACTGCTAGGAACTAAAACAATTTATGTGGAGTTCTGCTTTAAAGCGGAGCTTCACCCAAAAGGGGAAGTTCCGCTTTAAGCCTTTGTCCCCCGCTCACCATTAAGGATTAGCACCTGTGGGGGGGGAGCGAGTGCCCAAATTTGACAGGTACCCGCTCCCACTTCTACTGCGATCGCCTAGGCCACGGGTGTCAAACTGGTGGCCCTCCAGCTGCTGCCAAACTACAAGTCCCATGAGGCATTGCAGGATTGACAGTTGCAAGCATGACTGCCAAAGGCAGAGGCATGATGGGACTTGTAGTTTCGCAACAGCTGGAGGTCCACCAGTTTGACGCCCCTGGCCTAGGCGATCGGAAGTGGAAGTTGTCCTCCCCCCCTCTGTAGTCTTCTGGGACACGTGACAGGTCCCAGAAGACTACGGGGCCATTCACAAAGAGCAGCGCTTCTTGTGCATGTGCAGTGGGCACCCAGCTGTGAAGCTGCAAGCTGTCACAGCCGGGTGCCCACACTGAAGATGCCGGGGAGAGAAGACGGCTGGTGAAACCAGCGGTGGTGAGGACACCGCGGGACCGAGGGACAGGTAAGTATCTGTATTTTTAAAGTCAGCAGCTACAGTTTTTGTGGCTGCTGACTTTTATTTATTTATTTATTTTTCAGGTGGAACTCCGTTTTTAAGTAATCTTCTTCAAGCTAAAAAATGCACATTCTAGCATGTGTGTGAAAAGTGGAAATAAAAATTTGTTTGGCGGCCAAAAGGATTTAGGAGGAAGCTAATTGTGATTGTGATGTTAAAGCTTTCCCTTTAATACTTTGCCTTTGAAGTTGTATGTGATAATTCCTTGCTTCTGTGGATTGTGAAATTCGTACATTGTGACTAGCTGAACTCGATCAATTAAACCGAACCTTCTGATCAAGGAGAAAAGTCGTAAGCTGGTCCAGCATAGTAGTCATGATGATGATGATTTCATAGCGATTAGTGAGTTGCATGGATTTTCTAGGGGAAGTCAGTAGTACTGCCTTGCTTTAGGTTTCTGCCCAGTGATTAAAATGATTTTGTTCTCTTGCAGTGGCTGTCTGTTCTCCATCCTCTTCCCGCTCTTCATCATCAGTGCTAACGAAGCAAAAACACCTATCAAAGCTTAGTAAGTATTTATGAGCCCAAGTGATCTTCATTTTTCCGCTAAACCAGAAATCTCCAGAGTATGCCTTTCTGAGACTACCGTTGTTAGACCCCCTCCTGTATATACCCCAGACTGTATATATTTGCCTGTTTTCAGAATGCTGTACTCCCATAATGTGATCCAACTTCCCTGTGTCAGCCAGCGGCAGCTGCAGGGGAGAGGATGGAGTGCCGAAAATAGATAGGCCATAGGAGTCTATGGGTGGCATCACTGCTTCCAGGAATTCCACCCATTTTGTTGAACATGCACTTCTCTCCCCTGCAGCTGGTGCTTGCTGACACATGGGATCGCATGACTGGTTCCCATCACATGATCCGACTTCCCTGTGTCAGAGTCACCCGCACGAGAGTGGATGGAGTGCTGACAACAGGCCATAGGAGCCTATGGGTGGTGTTGCTGCTCCCAGGAGTTACAGCCATTGTCGAGTGCTCTCTCCTCTCCCCTGCAGCTGACACAGGATCATGTGACTGGCTCCCATCACATGATCTGACTTCCCTGTGTCAGCGTCACCCGCAGGAGAGTGGATGGAGTGCTGACAACAGATAGGCCATAGGAGCCTATGGGTGGTGTCGCTGCTCCCAGGAGTTACAGCCATTGTCGAGTGCTCTCTCCTCTCCCCTGCAGCTGACACAGGATCATGTGACTGGACTTCCCTGTCCCATCACATGGATCTTACTTTCCTGTGTCAGCAAGCGAGGCATCTTCAGGATCAAGACTGGATGATCTTACTTTCCTGAGTGCTGACTCAGGAATAGATAGCTGATATATATGTGTGTGTGTGTATATATGTGTGTGTGTGTGTGTGTGTGTGTGTATATGTGTAGCGGAACCGACCCAGTCTGTGCTTTGGTACCTCCATTATAATACCGCTTCCCCGTCTGAACACCGACGACAGACACCACAGATTTGAAGTAAGCCAGAAAGTAGACTAGTTTATTTGAACACAGATACAAGATATATACACTCAGGGGACAATCCCCCCTCCCTGCATAATGACACAGGGCGGGGCAATCTACATTTAGTAACAAGAGACACACAGGTATTCAAACTTCACACCAGCAGACAGTCCCATCAGGAGGGAGGGCTGCTGGAGACCCCCCCACTAAGCTAATACACATAAACACATACATCCCATAATAGTTTGCTCCCAAGCAAGACAAACAATAGAACAATGGGATGCAACCATATGACACCAAACAATCCACAACCCCCCCCCCCCACCTATCTCCTAGACATGTCTACACAATATGAGGACAGATCACCCTGTACCCCTAACAGGCACAGGGTGACTTACACATAATAGGGATATGGGGAGGTGAGATGGGTCTCCCCACCTCTCTCAAGTGAGCTGGGTTCCATGGGCCCCCCACCCAAAGTGACTCCCGTCATATATATACATACCTATGGGTGGCGTCAAGGAATTACAGCTGTTATCAAGGACTCTCTCCTCCCCCCTGTGGCTGGCACAGGGTATTACGTGACTGGACCAACAGGCTGAAAATAGGTAACTATATACATCTTTTTGTATACAGGTTAGTCAACATCATAAGTGTTGGGAGGGAGAAGAGAGTATTTTTAAGCTAGGTTTAGCCTGGAATTCTTCTTTACGGTGCCTGTCAGGTTTTTATTGTTGACGGTTCATCAAACCACACACCGCTTAGTCTTCTAAGAGACCTTTATGTCAGGGTGGGAGTACCACTGAATGAAGGTATCGGGTGGATCCAGGAAGAAGAAAGCCAGCACAGCAACTCTACCTCCAAGCAGGAATTGCACCCTATTGTCCACAATTACAGCGGTCATATCGGTGCGGTTCGGACTTGGTCGGAGCCGCACCGATTTCTAAAGTACCGCCTGCACTACTTTTGGTGCGATTTTCATAGACCGCTGTGTCAGATCTCTTGCAAATCGCACATCAAATCAGCATGTCGTCCGACTTTTTGAAATCGTGCGATTTCACTATAAGTCACACAATTTCAATAATAGATACTTTTATTATGCTTTTTTTTTTTTCTTTTGTTTTTTTTTTTTGTTTTTTTTCTTATTATTATTATACAGTATTTATAAAGCGCCAATAGTTCGCTCAGCGCTGTACATTACAAAGGAGGACAGAACATGTGACAGAACAATACCAATACAATGCAGAACATGAGGGGATCGAGGGCCCTGCTCTTTCGAGCTTACAATCTAGGAGGGAGGGGATGGTGGCACAGGAGGAGATAGCTGTGGGGGATGGAGTGGTAGGAAGAGTGGAGGAGGTCGGCAGGTTAGCAGGGGGTGGGGTAGGCTTCCCTGAAGAGATGGGTTTTCAGGGTGCGCCTAAAGGAGAGGAGAGTAGGTGATAATCTGATGGGTTGGGGCAGGGAGTTCCAGAGGATGGGTGACACCCTGGAGAAGTCCTGGAGGCGGGCATGGGAGGAGGAGACCAGGGAACTAGAGAGAAGGAGTTCTTGTGAGGAGCGGAGTGTGCGTGTTGGGTGGTACTTGGATATTAGGTCGGTGATGTAGTTCGGGGCAGTATGGTGGACGGCTTTGTACGTCAGTGTTAGGATTTTGAATTTGATCCGTTGTGCACAATCGGAAGCCAGTGGAGGGATTGGCAGAGGGGGGTGGTGGAGACGGAGCGGTTGGAAAGGTGAATGAGTCTGGCAGCCGTATTCAGGATGGACTGAAGCGGGGATAGCCAGCGGTGAGGCAGGTCAGTGAGGAGGGAGTTGCAGTAGTCGAGTCGTGATATGATGAGGGAGTGGATGAGCTGTTTAGTGGTTTCTGGGGTTAGGAACGTGCGGATTTTGGCGATAAATATTGAAGTCTGTATGGTCAGTGGGATGATTATGTGCGACTTGTAGTCTTTTCTCATCACAAGGTATAGGATTAGGACAGCAGGTAGGTGTGATAGAGCAGCAATGAGGAAACATGAATACATGGATAACAAACACAGAATCTTCTTCTAGACAGGCAAAGTGTATACAGTCTCACTTATCTTCCTTTTTGTTCTCTTCACAGTCACTTCCAGCTGCGACTCTTCTCACTGGTGGTCTTCCTCAGTAACCGGCTTTTTCACAAGACAGTCTACCTGCAGTCCACACTCGGCACCTCCACCAGCCCTCACCCATCACCTGCCAAACACAAGGCCTCATTAGGGCATTGATTCAAGTTGTGGGGGGAAGAAAAAAAAAAAAAAAAAAAAGAGTCCGTCCCCTGCTGCCATGTTTTTAACTGTTACTGACTGGCGGGTGTTGTGCCATGTTGGGTTTTTTTTTTCCTCCCTTGTTGCTGAGCCCTTCAGTCTTGGAACCGTTGTATTTTTCAGAAATTCATGCGTGTCGTCCTTGTGCATCCAACATCGGCTCTGAATTGTCCACTTTTTACACTTTGTAGTTCGAAAACCTTTCCTAACGTTGGCTAATAAACCTTAACGCACAGCGCCATACAGGGGGTGTTGTTCCATGGACGCCGGCGCATAGTTACGTTTTTCCTGTTTGATGATAGCACATGAAAATATTAAAAGACTGATGGAATCGTCCAGCTGCAGGCAGAGATTTATTGGGATCCCCTGTTAACGGGTTTTCACGTGTGCAGAATTTGTCTGCCAGGATTGGAAGTCTTTCATAGCAGATGTAAAATACCGTCATTTCGTGGGTTTCCAGTAGTTACAGAGCACTGGGGCTTCAGCACTCAGGGATGGAGGGGTTCATTCATTTTTTTTTTTGTTTCCTTTTTAATACCTTAATGTTAATTATTTGTGTCTAATTGAGCTATGGACAAACCAGATCTTTGTCTGACTGACCATTTTGTGATTTTAAAAAGCAGCAAATGAACAATTTCTATGTGACCGCTGTGTTCTGCGTGTAATCATATTTGGAGATATCCTATTGGATGGCGTCTTTCATCGTGTTTGCAGTATTGCCTAATTGATATATACATTATATTGCCAAATGTATTGGGCCCCCAGTAACACAAAGAACACAAAGATGACCTTTTCCATGTTGGAGCGTGTATGTGGGGGCAGGATGGACGGCCGTAATGGAGGGGTACAGAGGTGGAATGCAATGCTCTGTGCTGGTTAATGCATCAGATCCAATAATTCTGTGTTCTGACATTGCAGTCTCACATACACTATATTGCCAAAAAGTATTGACCCCGCCCTCTCAGTCATGTGATTCATGGACACAGGTGCTTACAATCAAGCCCCTAGACATGCAGACTGCTTCTACAAACATTGGTGAAAGAATGGGTCGCTCTCAGGAGCTCAGTGACTCCAAGCGTGGTCCCGTGATAGGTGGCCACCTGGGCAATAAGTCCATCCGTGACATTTCCTGGCTACTAAATATTCCACGCTCAAACTGTTAGTGGGATTATAACAAAGTGGAAGCAACTGGGAACAACACAACTCAGCCACCAAGTGGTAGGCCACGTCACATGACAGGGCGGGGTCAGCGCATGCTGAAGCGCACAGTGCGCAGAAGTCCCCAACTGTCTGTAGAGTCAATAGCTAAAGACCTCCAAACTTGGTGTGGCCTTCACATGAGCCCAACAACAGTGCGTAGAGAGCTTCATGGAATGGGTTTCCATGGCCGAGCAGCTGCATCCAAGCCTTACATCACCAAGTGCAATGCAAAGCGTCGGATGCCGTGGTGTAAAGCACGCCGCCACTGGACTCTAGAGCAGTGGAGACGTGTTCTCTGGAGTAACCAACCACGCTTCTCTGTCTGGCAATCTGATGGACGTGTCTGGGTTTGGTGCCAGGAGAGTGGTACTTGCCTGACTGCATTGTGCCAAGTGTAAAGTTTGGTGGGGGGTTGTTTTTCAGGGGTTGGGCTTGTCCCCCTCGTTCCAGTGAAAGGAACTCTTAAGGCGTCAGAATGCCAAGACATTTTGGACAATTTCATGCTCCCAACTTTGTGGGAGGAGTTTGGGGATGGCCCCTTCCTGTTCCAACATGACTGCCCACCAGTGCACAAAGCAAGGTCCACAAAGACATGGAGGAGCCAGTTTGGGGTGGAGGAACTTGACTGTCCTGCACAGAGTCCTGACCTCAACCCCATAGAACACCTTTGGGATGAATTAGAGCGGAGACTGTGAGCCAGGCCTCCTCCCCCGACATCAGTGCCTGACCTGACAAATGTACTTCTGGAAGAATGGTCCAACCTTCCCATAGACACCCTCCTAAACCTTGTGGACGGCCTTCCCAGAAGAGGTGAAGTTATAGCTGCAAAGCCAACTCAATATTTACTAAGACTGGGGGCATTGCATGTGTGTGGGGCGGGGCCAACTCAATATTGAACCCTACGGACTAAGACTGGGGGGCCATTAAAGGTCATGTGTGTGGAAAGGGCGGGGCCAACTCAATATTGAACCCTACGGACTAAGACTGGGGGGCCATTAAAGGTCAAGTCCTTGGAAAGGCCGGCCGACCAATACTTTTGGCAATATAGTGTATGTATATTTTTATTCTATAACAACTTTATTAAAGAATATCAAGAGCACATACAAGAGGGAAACTGGTACAATTTTCGCATTGCCATATCAAATGCACAGCGCATAAAGATGCTGCACAGGAGTCTCTCATCGGAGCAAAAATAGGCCCTTATTGATATTTTTATTTGCTCATGGCGCTCTATAATCTGCCCAAATAGGTTCACATCTACGCAGGTTGCAGAGGATGTTTTTGCATTTTTGAACATACATTTTTGATGTGTTTTTTTTTTTTTGGGGGGGGGGGGGGGTTTGGCAAATAGGAAATTATGACCGTTCTGTTCATGTAATGTGATTTTTATGCTACTTGAGTGCCAGAGAGCGTAAAGTTGCGTTAAAGTGGCTCTACATGAACAGAACTCTCATACTTTCCTATTAGCCAAAAGCAAATGTGACTTTGGACACACAAAGGTTCCTGCACTACTTGGATGCTGCTTGAGTGCCAAAGTGTGTAAAGTGTCATCAAAGTAATGCAGGAATCTTTGTGTCCAAAGTCGCATTTTTTTTTTTTTAAGTACTGACAGGAAGGGGTTAACATCTGGGGCGATCAAAGGGTTAACTGTGTGCTGGGAGTGTTTTACTATTGTGTATGTTGTACTGTGTCAGCACTCTGCTTTGTATTGCTCAGGGAGTGTCCCTGAACCTTTACAAAAAACGCACTGGCTCAAATTGCACAGATGTGAACTAGATCAGGGCTTAAAATTTCAAGTCCTGAGCTACTAGCCAGGCCTTAGGGTTACTTTCCACCAACAAACACACAGACATGTACATACACACATGTACATGCACAGACACACATACACGCACACACACATGTACATACACGCAGACACATGTACAGGTACATGTACATAGACACATGTACAATTGTACATGCATACACACACGCGTACACACACACGCCATAAAAAGTTGCAATACTTCATTGTTCACTCACAGAGCTGGGTACTGCACTCTAGGGGGAGGCAGAGAACACAGCACACACTCCATTTGCTTTCACTGCGCTCAGCTATTGAGCAGTCTGACGGCTCCCACTGCCAATGACAGATCTGGCCTGAGCTCCGAGCCTGCTCAGCAAGATGGCCCTGGGGGACACACTCGCCCCCACCATAATTTCCACTCACCATTGGCGAGCAGGCGAATGGGAATTTCAAACCCTGAACTAGATCCATAGGAAACCATGTTTAGTGGACTGGAGTGAGTTTCTGCAAAATGCACTAAAAAAAAAAAAAAATACATTGGTGTGAACCAAAGGTAATGGAGAGTTACAGGAAAGAATGATCAAGTTCAGAGGTACAGGGAGGAGAGGCTTTCTGCGATAATGGTAGAGTGGCTCAGTAATGTCTGGTGCAACACAACAGGCATAAGAAATGTGTGGTGCTAAGAAAAAACACCCCGGGGCTAAAAAAAAATGGGGGTCCATTGTCTCCTGTAGAGTGCACTAGAATCAGGCCCAGGTACTGGTAATGACAGGCTTCTGGGGTTACTGCTAAACGCCAAGCAAAACCCATCCAGGGAATTTTATACATTTCTCAGCCCCCCACCTCTCTTTTTTCCAGTGTTATGTTGCAGCCTGATCCTGCAGTTGTTTACATTCATTCCCTTTATTCCTTCATTAACCCCTTGCCCTCCAGAGGATTCCCCACCCCTCCCTAACCAGGTCATTTTTTGCGATACGGCGCTGTATTACTTTAACTGCCAATTGCGCGGTCATGCAACGCTGCACCCAAATGAAATTTACATTCTTTTTTCCCCACAAATGGAGCTTTCTTGCGGTGGTATTTGATCATCTGTGCATTTTTGTGTTTTTTTTTTGCACTATAAACAAAAAAAAAGACAATTTTTAACCATATCCATTAAAAATATGTTTTAAAAATCCAAATTTAGGACAAAATGCATTCTGCTCTGTGTCTTTGCTTAAAAAAAAAAAAAAAAAAAAAAAAACCCAATATGTGTAAATTAATTGGTTTATGTGAACGTTATAGCATCTACAAAGGGCGATATGTACAGTATCTCCCAGAAGTGAGTCCCCCCTCACATTTTTTTAAATATTGGATTCTCTCTTTTCATGTGACAACACTGAAGAAATGACACTTTGCTACAATGTGACGTAGTCAGTGTACAGCTTGTATAACATGGAAATTTGCTGTCCCTTCAAATTAACTCAACACACCGCCATTAATGTCTAAACCGCTGGCAACAAAAGTGACTCCACCCCTAAGTGACACGGTCCATACTAGTAATGGCGGCGATCAGCGACTTATAGCGGGATGGCAGCGGGCATTCTGACACTGGAGGGGGGAAACTAACTTCCACTGACTCAATAATAAATTATAAAACGACTTCCTGTGCTAAGAATGAGACCCTATCCCTATAGCTGCTGACACTTAACCTCCTACCAATGTGAGTCCAATACAATAAATAAATAAATAGTGCAGCGCTAAACCATAAATCTAAAGTAAATATATAAAATAAATATAAATCATATAAAAGTGCAACCGTGCAAATACAGTATTAATTGAAATAAAGTGTAACACGTGTATTCCCACCGGGAATAATCAAAGTGACCAAGTGATCAAATATATTCAATAAAGTGCAATCCGTGTATTCCCTACGGGAATAATCAAAGTGACCAAAACAAACAATATATCACAATACACTCTAATACAAATC